CCCTGGTCTGCTGGAGGATTGTTCTTGTTAAAAGGGAAGGTTCTCTCCAGTGTCACTACAAGCGGTGTGAGGTATTGTCTTCAAGTCAATGACTCAATGCAATCAACAGGTCTTACTTAGATATAAAATTTTGAATCACTTTGACTGTATAATCTGGTTGAATTGTCTCCGTAAAGTGCCTTGAGATGACATGTGTTGTTAATTGGCACAATATAAATAACTTGAATTGGACTCAGTGGTGGTCAATAAAAAAATTATGCCTGATTCTCCTTGAACCACTTTAAAACTTTGAGCCTGATAAATGCTGGAACTGTGCTCTTAAAATATGCATTAGGGAAGAAAATCACTACTGACAGAATAAACTGGTCATTCAGTACATTTAAATAGTTAGCTGACATAATCCTTTTGGTTACTATTACTGAATATTGACCTGACACACTACAGGGAACACTGCAGGGACACCAGATGGTTGCACTGCCCCCACAGGCTTGTACAGTAGATAACAGGCATGACGAGTGCATCACTTCACTTACCCGTTTTCTTTCTATGATGCACCCATCATGGGCTTATCTTGGCTAAATCAGACTGCATTACTTTTGTTAAGTCCTCCAGAGTCTCATCTTTATGCCCCTGGCAAAAAGTAGACCTTTTTTTACTGTTGTCTTTTGAAACCACATAACTGTTCAGTCCAAATCATTTAATCACTTAAATATTTTATGTGTTGTGTGTGTGTGACAGACTTTAATTTTAACTTTTTTAAATATGTTATGGGCCTTAAGCCATGGTATTAATTTTGGACATTGGGGACCAAAGTCCATACTGGTAATAACCATGATCATTTGTGTAGGAGCATGCAGTTTTGTTTTGCTGTTAGACTCTCAGCTACAATTTCTGCAAAACTCTCTCCAAGAAACTCCCAAGATCCTGTCAACGAGGGGGGTGAGGTTGCTTGAGGACACTACAGCAGAGGGGAGTGAGGCAGAAATGAGTTCTTGTAGATTTAATGCAAACCGAGGCAAACATACAAAACACAAAAATACTGAGAACAAAAACACCCAGCAAATATCAGGGGGAAACTCACATGCAAAGCCAGACACGAGGAAGCAACTAACAATCCACAAGGAACCAGCACTGAAGCACTGCACAGGCAGGAGCGCCTGCCGAGGTTTCACAACCTTGGAGCTCTAACAGTGGGGCCTTTGAGGTGTTAACAACCTTGGAGCTCTTGCAGTTTTCTGTTTCATCACTTGATCCTGCCTGAGGTACAGGGCTCTTTGGATGGCACAGAGTGTGCTCATAAAGTGTAGCAAACTGTGGTGAAACACTAAACGGATCTGAGTGAGGAGAAACTCCAACAGGTCCTGACTGGGGAGTGGAGTCCTTAAGATGAGGAGCTCTGACTGCAGTGGTTTTTGGAACTTGCTTAAGTGTTTTCACCCATGAAGCTTGCTGTTGGTCATGGAGATGACTGAGACCACAGGGACATCTGCCCTGGTGTGGGGTGAAAAAAAGCTGCCAGCAGACTGACCCACTGGACTTCTCTTTATTTTCCATTAGGTTGCCACAGCAGTGCTTGTAGATGCAAATGCTTTATAAATAAATTAGCCTTGCTAATACGCAGTGGTGTCAAAAGTACACACATTTGTTACTTAGAAGTATAGATACTGAAGTTTAAAAACACTCTGGTAAAAGTTGAAGTATCAACTTGACCTCATTACTTAAGTAAAAATGAAAAAGTATGTTCTCCAAAAACTACTCAATGTATAAAAGTATTAAGTAACCTTAAAAAAAAAAACAGCCAGATGCCACTATATGAATTGAAAGCTAAATTTTCTGACTATTTAGGAAAATTCTTTGAGATAGGGCCAAGGATGAGGGAGGTCTTGTTGGTCTCTGTCTCCATCTACCGATAAGCTCTCACCTGTGTCCTACCTTTCAGACATTTCTACATCTTTTTCTGAATCCAACATTGTAGCATGGCATAGACAATTCACGTTTACAGTTTGAAGAACACCTGCTTGCTTCTGATGATTTCCTTTAGCTAACCAATGAGTGTTGGGCTATATGACTCATCCAATTACATAGGTATAGATACCTAAAAAGTGTATTTAAGTACAGTAACAAAGTATTTGTACTTCGTTAATTGACACCTCTGCTAATATGGCAGTGAACTGATATTTTTTCTTCTTCTGCTCTATAACACTGCAGCTTTTGCAGTCTTTTTTCCATTTAATGCCAATCAATAATTTATTGATATTAATGATTGAAGATTCAGCCTTTAATAAAGAGTACAGGAACTAGAAAAGCAATCTGAGACCGTAGACCTCTGACAAGCAGCAAATTTTGCCCCATACACCTACCATCTTAAAGGAATAGTACACCCAAAACATGATTAGCCTTCATTTTCTACTCCCCCCCATGCTGAACAACACTCTGGAGTATTTTTTTGATATCTCAAATGCATCTGGAGATCTGGGAGGCTTCTTGCTGTCTGCTGACATTCAAATAATGGAGGTCTATGGTGACCGAGACAGAAAGGTCCATAAAAGTCCACAAAAAACGTGTCAATATTCCTCCATATTGCTCGTCCAATGTGTTCCAAGTGTCCTGAGTGTGTAGCATCCAGAATTTACTCGAAACGAAGTCATTTAGAATGTTTTTAGAGCATAAACAGTAGTGTATAGGATTTCCTGAAAGCGCGCACATGCGCGCTCACGACGCTACGGAAGCCGGCAGACCAAACCAGATGAAAGTGCGCATTCAGCGTCTGCTCTGCCAATAATGCAAGCGTAGAAGAAGAAATGTGCTGTTTACCTGTGCAAAGAAAGAAACAACGAAATAAGAATGTCTGAGGACTTCAGTGTTGAGGAAGAGCATGAGTTCTTTGCCGAGCTGAATGCGCTGGTTTGGTCTGCCGGCTTCCGTAGCGTCGTGAACGCGCATGTGCGCGCTTTCAGGAAATCCTATACACTACTGTTTATGCTCTAAAAACATTCTAAATGACTTCGTTTCGAGTAAATTCTGGATGCTACCCACTCAGGACACTTGGAATACATTGGAAGAGCAGTATGGAGGAATATTGACACGTTTTTTGTGGACTTTTATGGACCTTTCTGTCTCGGTCACCATAGACCTCCATTATTTGAATGTCAGCAGACAGCAAGAAGCCTCCCAGATCTCCAGATGCATTTGAGATATCAAAAAAGTACTCCAGAGTGTTGTTCAGCATGGGGGTGAGTAGAAAATGAAGGCTAATCATGTTTTGGGTGTACTATTCCTTTAAACTCACACATGATCTGGATCGTTATATGTTAATGAATTTCTCCTTGGCATGAGATACACCTTTGGTACAAAATGTCTTTAAAACCCTTTCATAGGTTTACAAGTAAGCCACAATCTGCAGCCTCTGGTGTCTGTTCTTCTCTCACCTTCTTCATTCACTCTGCTTTCTTCTTTGTCAGCAGATTGAGACTTTGAGCAAGGCTTGGCTCCCGTTTCTTATGCATCAGTATAATATTTGTGGGCTCTGTTGAGCCGATACAAAGCTGTCAATAGTCACCGCTGCCTCCTTCTGGTTTAAGGGGGGACTGCTTTTCCCACCAAATAATTTCTAAGAAACCTTTAAAAAATTCCTTTATCCAGATTACAACCTGGATTCCCACCAAAATGTAATGGCTTGTTCTTTGGCTTGAGGCACACATCTGAAATTTTCAGCACAATCTGTCCATAACTTTTTCAGTTATTTTGATTACTTGATTATTTATTTTTCTATTTTTTTGTGAGAATTTGAAGGTCAATTTTTGGGAACTTTTTCATTGTCTGCACCTGTGCCATACTTTTATTGTTGCAAAACAAAGCTAACACTTGTAAATATGTAAAACTAACAGCCAAGCAAGAAATGGATAACAACAAAGTTGGTTTAGATGTGGTATTTGTCTTTTATTGCATCTAATTCAGACTACATGCATGTTGGGAGAGTGGACGATACCATTCGTCATAAAAAACAAAAAGAATGAAAAAAACAGCCTTCATATACCAAACAAACACTATTTATCCACAATCTTTTCAATATGCCATATTATTCTTTATTTTTCTTTCAACAGTTTAATACCACTTAATGCCACGATGGAGTAAAATACAGTCATCTTTTTTTTTAAATTAAGTAACACAGAAACATCCAGTGAACACCTGACTGTTTTACAGTAAGCCTTTAGGACCCAGAGGCTGCACATGAGCAAATGTACTGACTTCTGTTGCACCAGAAATGACCCAAAAAGAGCAAACTTTATCCTCTATTTAACCTTTCACTTCTCTCAAAACCAAGAAAAAAAATTAAGGTCACTGAGATTTTTAAATTGCAACCCAGATTGCCCATTTGCATGCACTAATTCAGTACCACTTCACACCAGCAGGGGCACCACAGAAAAAGCTTTATTCACCGCATCTCTTCTTAGAGAGTTGTGAACAAAAAAATTTGGGGAGATTTAACCAAACTTGCAGTTTTTTATTTATTTAAAGTAACTAAAAATATATATACTATGTATGCCATTTTTAACAACAAAGGTTACTGAAAATATGCAAAATCTGTCATTTAAAGTAGTCTAAAATGCATATGTCAATTTGAACAGTTCACTTTTTTGCATGTTTCATACAATGTCACAACAAAGGAAACTGAAAGTAAAACAGAAATCTGATCTGCTCAATTAAAAGTCTGGGTGAACGGGTGAATTCAGTCCTGGTGCTTTTGTTTATTTTGTTATAGTTTTACAAAAGCATGATGTTGGAAAGTGGGGGGATCAATCCCCGAGTTAATATGGGTACAAGTTAATAATGACACAAAACATTGCTCAGTACTGGTTTGGACATCAGGGGGGAGTGACTGAGGGGCTGGCAAGTGAAGCTACACTGAACAAAGTCCACATTAACTTCAAACACAGTCCTTGGTGGTGCCAAAAGAATCCAACACACGTCCACCATTCCAGGTCAGCCGATATGCTGAATGAATCTAAATACACATTTATTGATTTTTTTTTTTTTTTTTTGGTCATTTATCTTTCCATAGTATATTAAGTAAAGGTTAACACTGAAATACACACACACTCACACACATTGAAACATAACTGATTTTCTGTATCTAGGGTTCATATTCACAGTTGTGCTACAACATTAGATAACGAGGGTGGGTTTTCAGTCAAAGCTGGTGGAAGGTTAGAGGGGAACGATAGAAGAGATGATAGCTGGCTGGCTGGCTGAAGAAGAGGCTGGGACGGGTACAGACATCCATATCCACAGAGCTCCAGACACAATGACAAACCTTCAGTGGTTGAAGATAAAAAAAAATACAAATCAGGACAGTTACACAACCATGTTTATATAACAACTTTTGACTGTTGTCATTACATTTGGGTGATTTATGATTTGTAATAATTTGCGACAAATTTATACCACAAACAACAAATTGTAGTAAACAATGCAGAGATTTAATTAATTAAAATTGAGCAGACCCACCTTGGGGTTTATGGGTCAGGCAGTCTACATAAAGTCCTTGATATTCAGGTCATCCAGAGCATTCCTGGGTGGTGGGGGCTTTCTTGGGCTTTGGGCCATTCCAGGAGACATCTGCAAGCACATTCGATTTTAGCATTCACCCTTTTTTTGCATGTTTGCAATTAGTAGCCCACTTAGGAGCTTGTTACCGGTGCTCCAGGGGCCGCTCCTGTGGCAGGAAAGCCTGGTCTAGCCATGGGCATCATTGGTGCTCCGGCAACTGGAGCCCCAGCCTTATATAGAGACACACGGAGGGAGGAAACATAAATTAGATTTATTGTCTGGCATCTGATGCCAGAGGGAGGGACACCTAAGTAGCTGATTGTCCATCAATATCCGATAATGTTCAAATGGGACATTACTGGACTGGACAGGAGGGGTCATCTTACCATGATGAAGCTGGGGTAAGTCCCCATATAAGGACCAGGACCCATGGGAATGTTCTAAAGGTGTGGTGGGAAGGGGACGGACACGAGGAGTTTGGATATTACCATATTATAAAATAAATGAGAGATGCCGCAAAACCAACACACATAAGGGTAGGAAGAGAAAGTGCTGATGCTTTCTACAGGTGCTGGTCATAAAATTAGAATATCATGAAAAAGTAGATTGATTTCAGTAATTCCATTTAAAAAGTGAAACTTGTATATTATATTCATACATTACATACAAACTCATATATTTCAGATGTTTATTTTGTTTAATTTTGATGATTACAAATGACAACAAATGAAAATCTCAAATTCATCATATCAGAAAATTAGAATATTGTGAAAAGGTTCAAAATTGATGGCCCCTGGTGCCACACTCTAATCAGCTAATTAACTGAAACCACCTGCAAAAGCCTTTAAATGGTCTTTCAGTCTAGTTCTATAGGCTACACAATCATGGGGAAGACTGCTGACTTGACAGTTGTCCAAAAGACGACCATCGACACCTTGCACAAGGAGGGCAAGACACAAAAGGTCATCGCTAAAGAGGCTGGCTGTTCACAGAGCTCAGTGTCCAAGCACATTAATAGAGAGGCGAAGGGAAGGAAAAGATGTGGTCGAAAAAAGTGTACAAGCAAGAGAGATAACCGCACCCTGGAGAGGATTGTGAAACAAAACCCATTCAAAAATGTGGGGGAGATTCACAAAGAGTGGACTGCAGCTGGAGTGAGTGCTTCAAGAACCACCACACACAGACGTATGAAAGACATGGGTTTCTGCTGTCGCATTCCTTGTGTCAAGCCACTCTTGAACCACAGACAGCGTCAGAAGCGTCTTGCCTGGGCTAAAGAGAAACAGGACTGGACTGCTGGTGAGTGGTCCAAAGTCATGTTCTCTGATGAAAGTAAATTTTGCATTTCCTTTGGAAATCAAGGTCCCAGAGTCTGGAGGAAAAGAAGAGAGGCACTTCATCCACGTTGCTTGAAGTCCAGTGTAAAGTTTCCACAGTCAGTGATGGTTTGGGGTGCCATGTCATCTGCTGGTGTTGGTCCATTGTGTTTTCTGAGGTCCAGGGTCAACGCAGCCACATACCAGGAAGTTTTAGAGCACTTCATGCTTCCTGCAGCTGACCAACTTTTTGGAGATGCAGATTTCATTTTCCAACAGGACTTGGCACCTGCACACAGTGCCAAAGCTACCAGTACCTGGTTGAAGGACCATGGTATCCCTGTTCTTAATTGGCAAACAAACTCTCCTGACCTTAACCCCATAGAAAATCTATGGGGTATTGTGAAGAAGAAGATGCAATACACCAGACCCAACAATTCAGAAGAGCTAAAAGCCACTATTAGAGCAACCTGGGCTATCATAACACCTGAGCAGTGCCACAGACTGATCGACTCCATGCCACGCCGCATTGCTGCAGTAATACAGGCCAAAGGAGGCCCAACTAAATACTGAGTGCTGTACATGCTCATACTTTTCATGTTCATACTTTTCAGTTGGCCAACATTTCTATAAATCCTTTGTTTTTATTGGTCTTCAGTAATATTCTAATTTTCTGATATGATGAATTTGAGATTTTCATTTGTTGTCATTTGTAATCATCAAAATTAAACAAAATAAACATCTGAAATATATGAGTTTGTATGTAATGTATGAATATAATATACAAGTTTCACTTTTTAAATGGAATTACTGAAATCAATCTACTTTTTCATGATATTCTAATTTTATGACCAGCACCTGTAGTGAAATCAGCATCATCCAAAAGTGGTGCTGAAGACAGACAAAACAGTATGGCACACAAAAACAAAGACAAGCCCGCAAAAAAAAAACCTTACTCCAGCTGTAAAGTTCTACTCTTTACTGAAACATGCATAATGAGGGGTAAGTACAAATTTCCAAAAAAGTAAGTGAGCTGAACTATATGGAGTGAATTCAAAAAAGGCTTAAGATATTTATTGAAAAGAATAAGAAGCTGTAATTTAGCCATATCATATGTCTCTTCATCACTCTCCAGTACAAACTCCAGGTATTAAATAAAGCTAATGCAAAGTAAAAATTAAATCTTCCTGGATTTGTTATGGTGGATGGTAAAATAGCAGCATTGGTTGTCAAAATCTGTATGATACATTCCATCCTGAATCCTGCATCCCCTATTTAAACACCCGATGGTTAACACCTGGATACTGGAGAACCAAATGAAGGCAACGCTTTGAGATTGCTGCTTCTGATGTGCCCTGTCTGCCATGCGGGTCCACTCCATGCTATAAGACACAGACAACATTTACCATGGGTGCACCCCAACTAGGGGGAGCTACCTGAGGAGCCGCTGCAGTTCCCATTGTGAGGTCTTTAAGGAGGAGAGAGAAAGAGAGAAAGGTTCTGCAAAATCACTGTTTCACTGCAATAATGGAAAATCATACAACATAGTACAAAAACTTTTAGTCTTGTTTCCCATCAATCAGAATTTTACTATATGTCTAGAGCTTTTAATTCATAAAAAAATTTCCTTAATATTGGTATGTTATTATAAATTAAAATCACACCTTTGGCCCTATTTCTATTGGCTTTTCTACAGATCTCCACCATCCTGGCCCTCTCAATCATAACTTTAAAAAAAAAAAAGTCAATCAGGCTGTTGTTTGTTCATCTGCATGTCTGTCGTTGTACAGAAATATTTACATTTTGCATAAGGACTTAACATTCAGGTACTATTCAGTACAGTAGTTACACTTTGTTGAACATAAAAGATCAGATTACCGTAGTTAGAAGATTAAATAAATCTCTCTTTGATATAAAATATAAAGAAATTTGAAGCAGCCTAAAGCAATTTTAATGTTTCTTTTTAAACCTTTTTGTTTGTCTTAACAACAATGAGTTGTGTGAAATGTTAGCATGTATAGTGCGGCTCATTTTTTCCACTGACTGATTTATAATTTTATGGTTCAGTCATTAGCCAGCCTAATTGAGTATAAAAGGGGGCTGTCTACCACCAACCGTGTGTTAGTAACACTGATAATTTGAAAGAATGTTTTACAATCTATTAAAAGTAAATCGTTAGAAAATATGGTTATGTGACTCCAGTTACTTTTAACCACAGGAAGTAACTGCGAGTTCTAGTGGTTGAATAATAGTATATTACTGTATATTTCAAAATAGTTAATTGGCCCAAATTGGAACTAGAACTATACTGAGTAGAAACAGGTTCCAAATTGAAACATTTTCATATAATAATGAAGAGTTATAAGCTTTCAGCTATACATCTAAGCATTTTTATTAATTTCTTTATCGAAAATTGGTCACCAAAAAGTGCTAGTTATAGTAACAATTGAATACACAGTTCAACAACATGGATAATAGATGATTTGTTTACACATATGAAAGAGACAAGTATGTAGAGACAAAATGGCAACAAGGAGATACAAAATAGGGGTTCAAATTGGTTAGGTGTTCTAATGTATCCTGATTAGTTCGGAATTTAAAATTTGGAACAACTAAAAGCAAATTAATAGAAATCAAAGTACTTTGATACATGTCCTGTTCTTCTTATGATTAGATTAAATAAAAGTAATTGCATTCTGCTGTTTTTCAATCTCAGTATTTGTTGTACAGGCACATTTGTGACAGATGGACTGTGCAAACTAGTTGCTTTTCCAAAATAGCTTGTCAAGCAGTCTTGAAAGACTCAGTATGCAATGTCTGTAAAGCACTATTTTGGGGAATAATAAACTCTGCTGTTTGTGTCTTCTTGGTTATTGCTATGTTGTTTGACGCCGGGAGGGTATAACAAGCCATTTTTTTTAAACATACACATTTATCATTATTCAGTGTTGGAGTCTGCACTTATTACTACTTACTACTTGCCATGTTAGCCATAGAGGTGTCAACATCACCCGCCTGAGGGGTCACAGTGGGCTTCATTATGTCGCCTAGCCCATCAAATACTACAGGAGGGAGGGAGTAGAAGAAAGGAAGGGGCAGGATGGGAGATTAAGGGAAATATTAGCATCCTGTGTGAGCTATTCTCACACTACACGGCAATTCTGTAGCACATTTCTTTATTACTGGAGATTACTATGACGACCAAAAGATATCTCCATGACAACAGAGCAGTGGGGATGATCAATACTACTGTGATAGCAAACAATACAGAATTCAGATGAGGACAAAGAGTTTCTTTATAATAAGGAAGGAAATAACATTAAGAGTGTAAATGTCAGATTTATATACAATTAAATAAAGGAAAACATTTTAATTAGATATGCTTTTATATATATATATATATATATATGATTTGATTCTAACTTCAAAGAAAAACAAACACATGTGATGTATATTGCTGTTGTTTGACACAGACAGTCTTTGTCATCATCCAGCATCTGTTGGTGGAGGGAACAGTGCAGTGTGGCTGTGCCACTGCAATGCAGTGCACTGTGGGAATTTAGCGTATTAAAGAGCAAGGCAACTCACCCAATCAAATGGCAGGAAGCAAGAAATGAGCCAGCCCAAGAGCCAGATGGAGCAAGAGAGCAGGGGAGAAGTGTAGGGAAAAGACAGGATAGCAAAAAAAGCAGATATGCCAAAGTAAGAAGGACATATTAAGCTTTTTAAATAGCGCATGATAAAGAGATTGTACAGAATGGAAAAAGATAAGAGGTTAGGCCATAGAGCAGCAGTATAGCAGACCTTAGATATATAGGAACAGTGGGAGATGATTGTGAATTTGATGAAAGAGAAAAAAAAAGTTTACGTGGTCACATTAACGGAAATAATCCAATCTGTCTCCAGCAACCGACTCAGTGGTGTGCAATGGTGCCCTAAAAAAGTACCCCACCACTTGAACTTTGCACATGCTCCCATTATGAAAATATATCTAAACAATCATTAAAGAGTTCATAGATGATAAAGTGAACTGTCTTGATATTTACTCTAGAGTAAAAGTTTTGTTCGCAGCTTAAGGGACATGTGTCAGTGCCGTGTCTTTTTCTGTTACAAACAACTCTCTCAGAAAGGTGCTTTAAGCAGATATTCTACATAGAAATTACAATTCCTGATGGACAAGTCTCCATTGGTAAGAAATTGGAATTTGGTTTCTGGAGAAATTAATAAAGCATTTTGGAGTCAGTGCAAATATAGAGCTAGATTGTTTTATGATCATTTAAATGAAAGACATTCCAACTTTCTATACAGCATAAACATGTAATGTATTATTAAAAAGTCACAGTCTTTAGCACTTTTACACAATCAGACTAAAACGTTGGTCTACTCTTCTTTAATGTTATCATCAGTTTTCAAATCATGTCATAGAATCAGACTCTGGGCTTTGACTGGGTGATTAATATGAATAAATCTGCACTGTTCTAAAGCATTTTGTTGGCCTTGCTGAACATTTAACAGGCACTGTACGTATACTTAATAATGACAAAATTTATCTAAATATATGGATACCCTTTTAAATTGAACACTGAAATATAAGGGGATTTTTTTTATAAAAGAGATACTGGTAGATTGTCACTTAAATTATTATTAAAGTTAAAGGAATCAGAGAATAACACTATAAAGCATGTAGTTTTAAAGATTGACACCACTACAAAACTTCTGATACCGGTATATAATGTTCCTACTTAATGTGGGGCATTAAACTCCACATGATGAGACATCATGCAAAAATGAGACAAATACTTGCAGATAAAGGGAGGAAAAACACATGAAAGCACACTCGCACACTCACAGAAAAAGTGGGTCTCAGAGACATCTAAAACAGAACTCTCTCTCCATGGTAAAGGAAGATAACTGGTTAAAATCTAAGCTGAAATTGCAGTTGTCTTATGCTTTAGGCATAAGAAAGAGTGAAATAATTGCAACTCTGCATGGCTAAAAATGCACATGTAGGTTGGTGCATAACACATGACGATTTACCTGACATGAGCTCTGAACTTGGAGCAGCGGCGGCAGGAGCAGGAGCTGGTGCAGCAGCAGCTGGGGCATCCCCTCCTGTGGACTCTGTTGCAGGTCATCAAAAACATGACCCCATTGTGGCATGCCCCACAACAAAACGTTCAGCCATTTCCAACGCAGCATGAGGGCAAACAAGGGTAATAATCAGCCTCCTGCTTCAAAGCTGCTAATATCAGACAAAACAGTTGAAGTCAAAAATTATGCAAAACAAATCAGAACTCACACTCATCCAAGTAACAATCTTAACTCCTTTTTCATGTAATTAGTATATATATATATATATGTGTGTGTGTGTGTGTGTGTGTGTGTGTGTGTGTGTGTGTGTGTGTGTGTGTGTGTGTGTGTGTGTGTGTGTGTGTGTGTATGTGTTTGTAACTGATCAGTCCAAGTCCTGAATCCTTAGTCAGCCAAGCTGTGCAAGTAGTACAAAATAAACTATACTTATGACCCCCATTCAAAGCAGAAGCATAAGTACAGGCAATAGATGCAAATTCTGCAGCTGTAACCATACTAGAATAAATAAAACAGGATTTCACTTTACACCCTTATCTTCTTTGATGTTGTTTTCAAGAACCATGGAGACAGATTGAGGGCAGACAGTCATCTGCGTTACCCACCACCAAACAAGCTCATGATGCCTCCTGTGTCAATTTTGGGTGGTGCAGAGGAGAGGATAGGAGCAGGGGGGCTGAACAAATCGGCTAGAGAAGGCAAGGTGGAGATGATGTTTAGACCCCAACACGCAGTTGCACAAATGCACTCAGAGCAATCACTGTCATTTATTATGATGCATTAGCAGCACCTTTAGGGCAAGAAGTACATGCTCGAATCGGAAATTAGGTAAGAAACAAAAGTAAATGCTTTAAACAGCTCAATAGCTTTTATCCAATCTATAAGATGGCAAAATAGCCTTTTCCCTAATGAAAGCCAAGGACAAATCTGAAAGCAAACACAGCATGAAGATATTGGAGAACAGGAAGATGCACGCAAGATTGCAAACTTCGATGCAGGAGGGTACCTGCAGAAAACAAGTCAGTGCTGGGCAAGGGATCCGTTTTTGAGAGGCTTGAGTTTGGCATGGCGTCAAAAATATCTATGAGGGCATGCATACCAAGACAAAAAAGAAAAAAATACTTTTTTATTCTAAACCTGTTGATGAGGCTCATAAAAAGCAAAGTAACAAACATACAGTGACAATGAACAGTTAAAAGACACTCATCGTCTGCTTGAATTTCATACACATTTTGGTGCACTTAATTTTTTTAGAGTAAAATACTCTTTTAAAAAAAAATTATATGATATAGAAACTTTAAATGTATTGATCATTTTAATATGCTTTTAGGCATATTAAACAAACTCAACTCAGAGCTTTTTAGTTTGGATCGGAGACTAATTGAATATCCAGGGTCTGCCAACCACCCTCCCAATATTCAAACCTGTCATGACTTGAATACCATTTCAGTGTCCAGAGGTAAACAAGTTAAAAGTCCACATGGGCTGAGAAGGTGACAAACCAAGAAGCCAAACTGCCTTACTTTAGTTTGCAGTTTTTTGTTTGGCCAAAAAGTTATATTCGAAGACGAAGGAGTAGCTTTTTTGCTACGACAGAAGAATGTTTGAAGCAGTCCGTTTAAGGCTTTGAACGTTATACCAACCATAATGACACCTTTTTCATGCTTCTTAGATGCCTTTTTCATGCTGACCTTTCTTATGATGAAGAAAGGTCGATTCAAAAAAATTTTCATTGGCTTAAAGGAATAATACACCCAAAACATGATCTACTCACCCCCATGCTGAACAACACTCTGGAGTACTTTTTTGATATCTCAAATGCATCTGGAGATCTGGGAGGCTTCTTGCTGTCTGCTGACATTCAAATAATGGAGGTCTATGGCGCCGGAGGCAGAAAGGTCCATAAAAGTCCACAAAAAACGTGTCAATATTCCTCCATACTGCTCGTCAAATGTATTCCAAGTGTCCTGAGTGGGTAGCATCCATAATTTACTCGAAACAAAGTCATTTAAAATGTTTTTAGAGCATAAACAGTAGTGTATAGGATTTCCTAAAAGCGCGTTCACGACTCTACGGAAACCGCGGCAGACCAAACCAGATGAAAGTGCGCATTCAGCTCGGCAAAGAACTCATGCTCTTCCTCAACCCTGAAGTCCTCAGACATTTTTCTTTCGTTGTTTCTTTCTTTGCACAGGTAAACAGCACATTTCTTCTTCTACGCTTGCATTATCGGCAGAGCAGACGCTGAATGCGCACTTTCATCTGGTTTGGTCTGCCGCGGTTTCCGTAGGCTAGTGAACGCGCTTTTAGGAAATCCTATACATTACTGGTTATGCTCTAAAAACATTCTAAATGACTTTGTTTCGAGTAAATTATGGACGCTACCCACTCAGGACACTTGGAATACATTGGACGAGCAGTATGGAGGAATATTGACACGTTTTTGTGGACTTTTATGGACCTTTCTACCTCGGGCGCCATAGACCTCCATTATTTGAATGTCAGCAGACAGCAAGAAGCCTCCCAGATCTCCAGATGCATTTGAGATATCAAAAAAGTACTCCAGAGTGTTGTTCAGCATGGGGGTGAGTAGAAAATGAAGGCTAATCATGTTTTGGGTGTACTATTCCTTTAATACTAGCCCACACAGGTAATGAATTTAATTGTGTATGCTATGATTGTTCCATTCTAAAAAGACTTCAATTTGATATGAAATTAATGCAACTTCTGAGTGTATCTAAACTTTTCATTGGAACTGAATGCAGAAAACAGCCATAAACTGTAAGGGATTACCAGGCAGTGGAGGGGAGATTTATCAGAGCTGTATCAGTTCAGTGAGATAAGGAAGGTGTTAAACACAAAACCAATCATATGCCTCAAGTTTACCACCAAAGAGGTCAGTCGCAGGGCTGGTGATGTCGGAGCCTGAAATGGTGGCAGTGGTGGTGATGGTGGTGGATGTGGAAGTGAAGAGCGGTGAGGGGGATGGGGAAGGGGAGGGCTGAGTCTCCATAGAGCTAAAACAGACGTCCAGTGAGCTACTGTTCTCCACTGTCATCATCCCAAAAAGATCTAGTTCTGAAGATGCAGCGTTGGTATTGTCGTCTGACGGGGCAAAAGGGTCTTTGGGGATTAAGGAATTCAACATATGGAGAGGAAGAGGCAATGTTAGACAATGATTTCAAAACAAAACAGATGATTTATAGGGCACTGACTCTGGCTGAAATATTAAGGCAGTTTAAGGTGGTGATAAAGGTCACACCAAACTCGTTTAAATCCATATCTAACCAATAATGCTTTAAAGTTTGTAGAACTTTCACATTCATTGTGCTGCTTTCTGACACTCATGAAGAAAAGTGTGTAGTTCCCAAAAACCTATAGGGTAAAAAGAACCATGAAAGGAATAAGAGGAAAAGAAAATATGGAGAAATCTAACACACTCCAGCTGGCAATGGGAATATTTAGAGCTAAAAGGAATTGGAAAAAATACAAACCAAATGGTAACTGCGATAGTAGCACATAAAAAAGGAACCACCAAACTGTAAAGCTAGACATGCCAAATGGTTGTCCTTGATGAGGAATATATAACTATGTCAATCTTTATTCCTCAATTGTTCGTCATTTTTGTTTTAATGTAAAAATAAAAACACACAAATCAATCTATCTGGAACTTTACAGAAATATTTACTTTGAGAAGTTTCAATACGGAAATAGTTTTTATTAAAGCTTACAATTAACTTTTAGAAACAAGATGTTTCGATTTCCTGAAAAGTTACCTTTTTGTTATCTGTTCAAGAGGAGCAATATGTCAAGAACCTGAAGTAAAATGCATTTGTGTTTCTGTTTCTAGATAATAAGGAAAAAGCAATGTCTTTAAAATTCAGGAGACCAAACACACATACCTCTGCACACCAACACACCCAAAAACCATGTTCAGTCTACATTAGAGACAACTATTTTAACTAGCCAGTGGATGCCAAACAATTTCATTACTCCTTCAAGTATTTTCTTAGATATGAGCCACAAGTAAAAAAAGAAAGGTTTCACATCCACACCAGCATTTTCTGTAAAAGTGATGCTAGAACTACTATTTACATCCAGCTAGGTTCAGATTCTCCATCAAAAAAGATGTAAAAAATACTTTAGACATACGTGCAGTATACGTGAGCCGATATGATTACTTTGCCTACATAACGACAAAGCAAAGTTTGCAATACCTAAATTCTTCTGTTCCAAAATGACTTCTCAGAAGCAAAAATAGTTATTAACTTAAAAATTGTATATATACACACACACACAAAAACAATTATAGAGAATGGTTAAAGGGTGATGCTGATGCTCTGTAAGAAATATTGCATTTTTAATCATTTAGTAATACCATCAGCAAAAAAGGTCAAAACGCATTAATATTTTGAGTCAAAGTTTATCTTTCAACCTTAACAAATATACTTTTGGCTTTATATTAAATATCTTCCAACTGTGCTTTTTGTGAGCATTTACCAGAAATGCACCAGACTTTGCAAGGATATTAAGAGCTTAGTTTAATCATTAAGTGTAGGTATTCTTGCCAAGAACCATAAAGCATGTTGATATCTTCAAGGGTTTTATAAAGCATGTTATTGTAAAAAAATAAATAAAACCATTACAGTCCTATTAAAACACTGAGAAAACCTTAAATATGGAAACTTCATTAATGAAACAGATTAAGTTATACACCAGCTTTGGCACATTCACACTCAAGCAGATCCAGATACTCTGATTTGTTGTCACCCACCAGCTCCAGAGTTAGTGGCTGGGGCAGATGAAGCAGCAGCCCCACCCTCTGCTGCAGCGGTGGCCTCAGTGGAAGGAGCAGGAGTCGCAAAGGCGTCTGACGTTTGAATCAACCCAGGGGTGGAAATGCCAACAGATGGCAAGATGACAGGAGTATAGATGAAAGAAGAAAAGGAAAAAGTCAAGCGATACTTGAAGGTAAAAAGACTATTAAGAAAAACAAAGATAAGAGCTTAGCAGGCATGTCCAAAGTAGGTCCTCGGGGGCTGCTGCCCTACTGGTTTTAGACGTTTTACTGCTTCTGTACAACTGATTTTCATTGATAGCAGATTAACAGAGTTTTGTTGAACTCCAGTCACCCTAGTCAGCTGTCCCAGAGAATAATGAAAACCTGTAAGACAGCTCCATGAGCACCCACTGGACATGCCCAGCCTAGAGCTTTTGCATGTGAAGATTATTAACCCTTTGCTTTATTTCTTTTGTTGTTGTTTTTTTTCAGAGTGGAACAGTAAAAACAGCAGTGCATAACATGAGTGACGGAAAGGTGAATAGAAAAATGGGTATACAGACAGGAGGCAGTACACAAAGATCTATCTACAGCACAAAGAAAAAGCCACTTATGTTGCAGGTGCCATTTGTAGCTGGGGCCACATTGGAGGGTTTTAAAGCATTGCTTTTCAATGAATTTACAGAAAAGCATGCCAGCTCATTAAACAAGATGCATATGACGATGAATTTGGAAGGATGTTGGCAAGCCATGTTTAAGTGTGTTAGGTTTCTAAAGGAAGGTTGATTTGTGAAAATAACAATAATAAAAAATAGCAGAATAGTTGTATTGTTGACAACATGTTGATTATTGGAATAGTTGCACACATCACATAAGCCCACATAAATGGGCTTATGTGATGCTATACATTAATTTGCTAGGGACTACTACTAAAAGATTTGTTTTATATTAACCTCCCAAGTACTGACAGTTTATGTAGTTGCTTTAATTCTCTGCAATTCAAGTTAAACAGAAATCCAGTTAGCCTTTTTAATTTTTATTTCTTTGCATCTGAGACAACTTTATGGTTTTTTGTTTTTTTTTACCTCCGCCAAAGGGTATTATGTTTTTACCATTGGTTTGTCTGCCTGTCTGTTTTCAGAATGACTAAGTCTGTACAACGTTTTAGTCTCAGAAAGACTAAAACGTTGTACAGACTTTACCAAACTTTTCATAGAAGGTACGACAAATGATTCGACTAAAGGTCTGCACTCTCCGAGTGCATTTCTAGTACAATTTGTTTCACATATTCACACCCAGAATCTGTGATTCAACAGCTGTTACAGTATTTGCAATAAACAATGATGCACCTTTTACCATTTATTCATATTTACAAATAGATAGTGTACAAAAAATGGCAACTAATTTTATGAAGTATAAATTGGCAATGATGTTGAACATTACTGTAGCAGATTTTCAGTTTTTGTTTGGGGAAAAATCTTAATTCGGACTATTGGAATTTTTCTTTAAACTTCTTAGAATAAATAGTACGAGAAAGCTGAGGGTAGCAACTAATTATTAGTTCTGTAACCATTTCCAGGCTGATAAACGTGAACTAGTGCCAGAAATTTTAAATGTAACTTTAAGCACAATTATTCATCGGTTGCTTATACATTAAAAGTCAAACTGAGTAAATATTTCCATTGTCAAATGGTTTTATTCTATTTGTTTAATTTTGGGGGTATGTACAGAATGTGCAGAATCTAGATCAAATGATCTGCACACAAGTTTATAGCTACCTTTTCTACAAAACCTTTAACCACCTCAAATTATTAATGAGTACATAATAAAGCAAACAGTATCTTATAGTGAGACGAACGTGCATCAGTGCTGATAATAGTGGCTGTTTTAGGGGATTTGTTTGCATTGTGCAAAATATTTTCTCAACCTATAAAGCAGTGAAAAAGTATTTATCCCCTTAGATTTGTTCATTCATATTATTTTTTTGGAACATCTAAATGTTTTAGATGATTAAATATATTTGAAAATCAAACAAAAGTTATAAGGAAATTAAATACTGCAGGTTTCAAAAGATGATTTCATTAATTAAGAAAAAAAGTCATGATCTGAAAAAATTAAAGAAAAGATCAGAAACAAACCAATAAAAAAATACTTTTATATATAAAGGAGAACACAAAGAAGCCTTGACCAACATTTAAATGAACCACAGGCCTCAGTTATGATTAAGCTATAAGACAATAAAGTGAGGCTGGGGAAAATGTGATCCATGGGGAGTTCCTCAGCAACGACTAGTGCTGAGCACAGAAACATAAAGGACTATTTTACACCTTATTCTATAGACTTATAATACAAAATGTAATCTAAAAAGTAATACTAAAGAGTAATCTTTAAGCAGTGTCCAATTACATCTGATTTAAAACGGTAAAACATAAAAAAAAAATTATAATACAGACTGTGAGGCCATAGGAAACCCTGATTGATTCGTATCTCAACTCCAGTTTGATTGCATTTTTTCTTAATAAATGAAATCAAAATTTAAAAAACTAAAATCTCGATTTTTTTTCTTCATATTATTGTTATTCTATAGAAACTTTTTTTTCTGAAAATATAAAAGTAAACATTAAAAAAATGTAGATAACTAAAGAAATCTGGAAGGGGGCAAATACTTTTGCTGTTCATGCTTAATGTGGTTAACACTGTCTGTGTTTTTGTGCTGTGAAATGGGTTTTAGGGTCGAGCTTCCCAGAGGTATTCCTTTGCAGAGAATTTTCTGGAAGCCCACTGACCTCCCAACAGATCCATATTGGTGGCACCGGGGGACGTGGCGGCTGCTGTGCTAGTAGGAGGAGCTAGAGAGACGTTGGGTTCTGCCGCTGCAGGAGTGGGTGCTGCTGCTGCAGGGGAGGGGGCGGCCTCTGCGGCGAGTTGGGTTTCAGATAGCAAGGAATCGCCCATTTCTGCCAGTGGGGTACGTGTGTTTCAAATCCCCCCCAAAAAAGGCAGCAAAGGGAGCAACCAAAATGACCAAAGGGTCACCAAAGTGACACAGAAGAAAAAAATAAAAAAGGTAAAACACATTTCCAATCAAGGTAAACCATTTTATAAAATTTAGATTCAAATGACAAAAAAAAGTACAAACATTCCCAGGACCAGCCAGTTTAAAACCAGGATATAAAAAAAAAAAATAGTCAAATAATAAACATAGACCCCATTTTATACCAGAAACAGACAATGGAGTATGTGGAGGGAGGGGAGAGAGAGAAGGCAAAGAGAAAAAAGAGAGTACTCAGACTAAAAAGAACAGCTTAAAGAGACAAACAGGGAGGTAACCATGAGACATTGGTTCTACCATAAGGCCATGTTTAATATTAATTTAATCTCACTTGTATTGATTCAATGTCACTTTCACTCTACTGTATATAAGTGTTTTTAGCATTAAGATATTCTTTGAGATTATTTACTACTAAACCATCCTTGGAAAGATTAGAGGTTAAACGCAGAGGATGGAGACACTCACCTGATCCAAGCAGATCTATGGAGGCAAAATGAACAAAAAACAGAGAAGAGAAAAATAAAAAATATATTTTTGTTAGACTAAATTCAGTGCGAATGGTTCCTAAATTAAATACCAAAATAGTTATTTGAAGTTTACGTGTGTTTATTCATTTACAAACGCTCTAAAGTCGATTAATTTTAAGTCTTCAAAGACCTTCAAGAAGCAGGGATTTTTTTTTTTTTTTTTTACCTGCAAGTTGCAGTTATTAGTCGAAATGGATATGCCAGGTTGTTCAAGCTTGTTTGAGTATAGAGGATTTCTACTAATGAAGTTCTACCTGTAAATTACTGCTGATGATTTACAGATTTACATGCAAGTACAACTGAATGATAGCAATACTTGTTGGAAATGTGTGTCTGATATCAGACAATGGCTGTTACAGAATTTTTTGCACCAAAATAAAGGGAAAACTTTTTTTTTCAGTCCCAAGCTCTATTGGTATGCCCCTAAGTTTGGCTGTTCTTACCTGCCTTTTACTTAAGCCGTGAGGAACCTTGGTCTAATGCTAGACAATGCACTTAAACTTAACAAAATGGTTAACTTAACTACTGAGAGCATTTTCCCCTAATGAGTCTCTGAGTAAAAGCGAAACCTTTTCTATTATGGCCAAATATTGAAGATGGAATTAATATCTTCTTTAGTTCAAGGCTGAACATTTGTAATACATTTTATAATACTCCATCCTCCACAAGCTTCTGGTCAACAATGTAGCTACATCTTTCCACTGGCTCCCATTACACTTTACGATAGATGTAAAGGGCCTGGTTTTTGTTTTTAAGACGATGCATAGTCTTGCTCCAGCCTACTCGACAGACCATTTAACTGTTCAGAGCTTTTGCATTTATTTAAGTATGTTACGATACAACATACAAGATCCCAAGTGCAGTCTATGCAAAAAGGCCACATAAACAATCCTCACACCAGGGTATAAAACTGGCAGGAAAGAAATACATGGAATGTCATAACCAAGTGAATGGTATAGTGTACAGAAACATCTGTTCAGAATATAAACTGGAGATCCCAGGTCAAAATGGGAGCCACCTGTCACTCTCCAATGACAGGCTGAGGTCCTGTGGGATCTCCAGATACAAACAGACAAAGTGGTTGTGGCCCACCAACCGGTCATTGTGATTATTGATAAGCAGCAGGAGACAGCTGTGGTAATTGATGTGGCTGTCCCAAAAGATGGAAACATCCGGGAAAAAAAGAACATGAGAAACTGGAAAAATACCAAGGCCTCAGGGAAGAACTAGAGAGAGCCTGGAATGTGAAGACAACAGCAGTGCCCTTGGTCACTGGAGCACTGGGGGCAGTAACCCCCACATGAAAAAAAAGGCTCCAACAGATACTTGGAGAAACATCAGAGCTCTCAGTCCAAAAGATAGCAGTTCTAAGGACAGCTAAGATACTGCTAAGAACCCCCAAGGCCCTGGTTGACAACCCAAGCTTGAGATGAAGGAACCACCCACCCCACCCAGGAGTATGACGGGTGGGTAAGAGAGTAGATTTTTATGTAAATATATTTTTCCAGACCCCTTACAGACATATAAAGCACTTAAATGAGTGTCTAGAGCATTGACAAATGTTACATAAATAAACCTTGAATGATTGCTTTGATCATTTCTCACCTCCCCAAGATGTCGGTGCAGCTGATGGTGCTGAGGGACCAGTGGAGGCCAGAGGATCCAGATCCAATAAAGAACTAATGAACAAAAAAAACCCCATCAGGATTAATTTCTTCTGGAACGTTTTTTAGAATAAAGAACTTTTAACCCCACAATAAGTATGTGGCTAAACAGTTGAGGGTTAAGTTAATATAAATATTTTTTCTAAATTCAATGACATGACATTTTGAAAATCACTTGATTATATCTAATAGTAAACTTTTGCAGTAAAGGAAAAGCAGAAATGTCTGAGCAGACAAATTTTTTTTTTTCCAAATCAGAGAAAAACCATAATTTTAAAAATATTACCTGAAGTTTGCCTGTCAGAAAATAAAAGACTTAAAAAGTTCCTTTATTTTCTATGATGCTACACTTTATTGTGTAATATTTTTTCTTCCAAAATGAAGCCATTCTTCTTTTGATTTGCTTGTCAGCTGACTTACTTAATTCACACTACAAGAACTCGTTCAACATTTAAGCCATTGTGTCTGTCACTAAAAACACTACCAGCTGATGTCAAATAAAAGAAAAAAGTGAGATGGAAGAGAGCAAAGAGTAAACTTACTCTTCAGCTGGTTCAGGAGCAGCGGCAGCTGCTGCAGCGCTGTCCCCAGGAGGCGGCTGCAGTGTGGGAACGGCATTTGAAGATTTGGCTGGAGTCGATGTTGGAGACACATTGTTTGTTGGAGACCCCTAAATAATACAACAACTCTTTCAAGTTAGTACAGCAGACAGAAATAGCAAAACAAAACAATATAGTATTCATTTAAGAAGGATTTCTCACCTTTGTTGGAGACCTGAATGTGGAGGAGAAAAGAAAATTGTGAGTAATAAAATTGAAAAATAGATGGATATTTTTTGAGCCAGGTAACTAAAATATACCCAGTACACATTACAATAAATGTGATCCTACAGTATGAAGAGTTATTTTCCAAAGTGACAAGCTGTGTCTTGAATGCAACTCAACAAAAGAAGCAATCTAAGTTTTTAGATAAGTTCACTTTGGGAAAAAAAACTCTTCACACACTGATTCACATTTTAAATGGCATTACAGGTGGTTTACAACTTATTTAAACATGTGTCTTCTTTAGAGACCACATATTTAATCACAGCACCAAGACACATTTCCACATGTGAAGTAAATTCTGGGCATTAACCTCTGAGAACTATACATAGAATTCACTATGTCTCAATTCAGGGAATTTTCCCGGAAGCCTCTCCGGCTGGCATCTGGAGAACAATTGCTTATCTTGTCTTTGATTTTTAGATTTAAATCTGACAAAATTCTGACAAGATATAATTCACATGTGAAGAATGTGAAAATGTACCGTTTGGTGGATTGAGAACAGTAAATACATGTAGATAGTCGTTAAGCATTGAATAAGCTTCAAACAAAAACAATAATATCTGCTCACCCTTCACTGGTGATTCCAAATCAACACAAAAGAGAATAACAAAGAGCAAAAGTTAAATTAAGTTTTTTGTACAAATTAAATGAAAGTGGAACTAAATTTACTATTTCAAAAGAATCTAGCAGTAATTGCTATATATGTAATTGCTACATAATATATTATATATATATATATATATATATATATATATATATATATATATATATATATATATATATATGTGTATATATATTGTATTGTTTTTTGTGAAATTTTTATCCCGAAACATAATAAATCAATAAAAAGCATATTAACACCTTGCTACCATAGCACTAAAAAAAAAAAGATCATCAAAGGACATGATGATCTCCTGAGAAAATATTAAAACTGTTGTGTAATATCAGATTAAGAATGCCTTCATAACAAAATTCACAAACTAAAATCATTCCGTTCCGATGCTATTTTGTTATTTTATTTTAAAACTTTCAGCCAAATAAATATACATATTTTTTTTATTTATATTAATATTTTAATAAGTAATAATTTAATAGTATTTCTTTGGTATGATTGAAATATAAGATATAGTTTTTAATTGTCTATTTTTAAACTATGCTAAACTTTTTAAAATCCAATATGCTCTACTATATTAGTTTCTAATAATATTATAAAATAACGGGGGACTCTTGGAGATTTGCTAACTTTAAATGTTGATGTTATAAAATGTTTTTTCATTACCTAATAAATTTTATTTTATATGTGTATATATATATATATATATATATATATATATATATATATATATATATATATATGGGCCTTATTCCTATACTAGCCATTAATTTTATGACTTCAATTAGAAAGCCCATCTCATTGAGTACAGTTTTCTAAGAACCAAAGAGAAATTTAAAATACAGTCATGTTGTTTTATGTGATAAAACAAAAATAAATAAATAAATAATACAGAATAAAAACGAAATTGTGTGTCCATCTTCACTTTATGACTGGTTCAAGACTGCAACTTTGAAATATTACATTTCCAACGGCTTTGATAGCTGCAGTAGTCCAGCTATTACCTGTGCACCAATTCTAACCATGCCAGCTACTTTAATCCTCACCAAACTAATTTTCAGCATATAATCTAAATTGCATCCAAATCTCACAGTTTCTTCTTACTAACGTTGAACTGCTTTTGTGAGTTTTATGCAGTATTACATTCATGGAACAGAAAGAAGAATGAGAAAGTTTAAAAATATCAACCAAAACAACTATACATTATGCATTTCTTAATAATTTTTGATTTAATAATTTCTTTAATAATTACCCTTTCTTTCCACCTTTTACATCCTCTAGACCATTCATGTGTGTTTCCAGAGACTCCAGGATACTGCTGGGAGCCTAACAAAAGAAATCAAAGCAAGTTACTAATAAGTCCCCTTATCAGCTGTCCTACTGAAGAGTTACTCTGAGTGTGTAAAGCACAAAGAAAGAATCTAAGACCCACTCCAACAAATGCATGTATGAAAATACGTCAGATCATATAAGGGCACCACATGCCAAAACTTCATCCTGATATTAAACAGGCACGCAGTCAGGGCACCCTTTTGTTTCTGTGGTTACCGGGTCCTCAAGGGATCTAAAGGGGCAGTCTTCGTCGTCTGAGTCAGCTAGATCCACCACCACCCCAGGGTGGAGACACTAGGTGGGGAGATAGTGGGGTGAGCCACAGGCTTCTGTAAGGCTTCTTGTTTGGGTCTAAATCAGGAATAAGGGCATTCATCTGCATAATGTGCCTGATCCTAATCCTTCCTACGAGCAATAAATACACAACGAAGCTAGACTGCTGATAAAAGGTAACTTACATAGTTGATGTCAGGAATGTCGTTTTTGTCCACTCCGACTGTCTGTTAGGGTAAAAGCATAATATGATGCAGATGTACAAAGGATTTTCAGTTTTCCTGATGCTGGGGAATATACAGTAGATTGAACTTACCTCAGCCAGCTTCATGAATTCCCCAATTTTTGTCACCCTGGTCAGGAACCTCTTATAGATGTCCAAGGCCTCCTTACAATCACTTTTTTTCATCTTGAAAAATTTTTCTAAAAGCAGAGACAAACAACATGAAATTAATTTATAATCATTCTTACAAAGCAATTACTTCCTAATGCACTGAACACTGACCTAACAGGTTGATGATTCCATCGTTATAGGATGCAAATAGCTTCACCAGATCTTTGAAGAGAAGCATGAAGGCAGCATTGATGATCCCATTGTTTAGCTCCTTCGGATGAACCTAAAGCAAGACAGGTTCAGGCTGATCAAATAGAAACTCCATGGAACAGACAGAAGGTTTGCACATCGATATATGAATACATACATCAAACTCCAGAAGTGTGTCGATCTGAGTCTGCAGAACAGGCATGCCTTTCAGCAGCTTCTCAGTGGTCATGGTTCTCATCACTCCCTCAGCACTGAGAAGATCCAACAAAGATTATTTCACAGAAAACAAAACTTTGCTAAAACAGATGTTCTCAGACCTTTGATGACAAACAATGCATGAGAAAATTATAAGCCTTCCAAGCACCACCTTTTTGTTTCCAAGTGATACGTGTATATCATTATTTTTTAAGAAACACAAATAAATGAAGAAATTTGATGTTCTTAATCAACAGTCCTGTAGGTCAGGGGTTTAAAATCCTTTTCAGGCATTAACTCCTTAATTATGTAGGCCCATTCAAGACCTTTGTTAAGATAATTTTCACTCAAAAGATTAAAAAAAATTACAAAAAAATAAATTACAAAAAAATTACACAGGAAGTGCCCCAAATTCAAAGTAAGATGTATCTTTTCTACATACCAAAATGTTTTCTCCCACAATAACACTTACCTAGATAATAAAGTAATTATTTTAATCATTTATATCCCACTCCCTTTATTATGCAAACAGTACTGTTCAACCCCAGTGTGATGGCCGCATGTGCAACCACACAACAAATGGTCAGGTAATTCTTTCTTTAAATCTTATATTTTACTGTACTGTATTTCATTTTTTTTTTACTTTGATTTGGCATTGGTTAACTATTTGGGTGCACGCATTTAGTTGACTCATTTTGTCATTTCTTGCTTGTTTGGTTTGCTGTACATTAATATATTTTTCATTTGAGTTGCCAGTTCCTGGGGGGCTGTCATGAGTGAAGCCAGTAAAGGAAAGGAGGCCCCAGTTGCAAAGGATCTCCTCATTGACATGGAGGCCTAGTTGTACTCTTCCACTTACTTTTAGAAGGGGTTTAGGAAGGGTTTAGGTTTCTGTATTTGGTTTTGTTTTCTATAATTAAATTTGGAAAGTTTAAAATGTAAGTCCTCTTCCTCATAGGTTGCTGATTTAGTATGGTGCTGATTAATTAGCTCTTTTGTTGTTGTTGTTTTTTTTTCAGGAAAATGTATTTTATGTTTCCCTCATGTTTCAAAATGGTTTGATCAACCAGTGTATATATGTTTCCCTTGTGTGTCAGTTAGGTAGGTATTTTCCTGTGTCAGGTTTGGATTATGCTGATTTTTGTCATTTGTTTTCTTTGATGAACCCAGTCTTGTCTGAAGTTTGAACTATATTTTTGCTAAATAAATTTGTTGCCATTTTTTCATCAATAACTTCCTGTGCTTCTCTGATTTTTTGGCTCGGTTCCTCACACCCAGTTAGCCTATATAAGCCTTACCGGTAGTTTTTAAACATAGAAAAAAGCCTAATTAACATATACAGATGTTTTTTAAATTTCAAACTTGAACTTTAAAAGTTAATCTCAGATCCAACTCCATAAAAAATACATAAATAAATAACCATCAGAACATTTTCTCTATGTTTTATGCTTCAATTTAAACGAGTGGTTTTTTTTTTTAAATTCTCCACTTTTCTCCATTTTCCTGGTTTTGATTTTTGCCTAAAGCTAAGGTAAAGTTTTGCTTGAACTCATAACTTGTGCTTTTTACATCAGTTTTATATTAGTTCTACATCACAGTTGAAAAGCTCTGTGTTTACCTTGTAACTAAAAGTTTCTGTGGGAACCGTTTAAAGCCACCAAAATACAAGTAATGCAAACTTTGGTTTGAGATCGTTAAGTGCTAGATGCTTGAGTATAATGTTTTAACTGAAATGATTGCTTAGGAGAAGTAAGTTGATCAAATCTGTTGTGAAGTCTAAGGTGTTGTTCCAACATACCCTTTTTTGACCCTGGTGAAGTCAAAAGCCATCTGGCGGTAGGCGAAGGCTTTCTCATTCAGGTACCGTGCATACCTCCTGATGAATGTAGACATGTCATAGCCTAAACACACATAGATTAGAATGAGACACCAGAGAGAGGTGGAGGGGTTTTTGTTATTTCTTAATTCAAATGTCAATGCATTGACATTGTAACCCTCTTCACAATACACGTTTCCCTTTTTGACCTAAAACTGTGCTTTTTAGATATTTAAGATTTAGAACGCATGAATACATTTGGTCAAATGGGATTTAGAACAAAACTATGAAATTCACTTATTTAAGTTGACCAGAACATTATTAGGAGATAATAAGCTTAGAAAAATATAAAAAGCTTACTGATTTAATGCTTAGGAGATTTTATGGTGAGACAAATGTGTTTTGCATTACACATTTCCTTAAATGTCACCAGATTGGTAATTTGCATGCAAATATTTGCATCTGAAAATTGGGCAAAATTGTTTTCACTGTAGCACTGAATTAAATACAGTTATGAATAGGGCCTTGATCCGTATAATGTTTAATGTGTTTTCACAGATGAAAAATATGTATTTTCTGGATATTAGTAAAAAATTTTTCTTCTTTTGGTTTAATCCAAAAATGAGATTGGTGACCAGTATGACGTGTCTGATTGGGGACTCAGCTACAGCATTTCAATTTAACCCCTGACTAAATCCAACATCCTTTTGCTGATAGTTTTATATAATTTTATGTCAGCCACGGCCAGTGAGCTGTGTGTCCATGAAAACATTAACTGATTTTAAATGTCAAGGCTTAATTTCATATACCTTGTTTATCTTAAAAAAGCATGTTAATAAGAGAAAAAAAAAAACATCTTTATCTTTTGGCTTTGTATTTATTTACCATGAGAGCCAGTTTTGTCAATGAAATTGCTGAGGTTGAACAAGGAAGTCCTGGAAGCCAAATACTGAATGAATCTCTGAAAAAGATATCAAAAGCAAAACATGTTATAATCAAACATGGACACAGTGATCATCCACCTTTATTTCATGACATCTATACACCTTATGAGTTTTTATGGCAAGTGTTCAAGCTAAATTAAAGTGGACATAAGCAAAAATCACTTTTCTGGCTCTCAAATACATTCTTGTATACTTCGAGTTTGAAGGAACTCAGAAAAGTTTATTGCAATCTCTGCAGATGCTGCACAGCTGTTGGGGTAATGTTTTTAATCTGCTTATTTTTCTCTATTCCCTCTTACAGTATGTTTTTGAATAACAACTTCACACTACTGCTAAGGAAGGTCATGAACTTCCAGCTTATCAATTCCACACTGCCACCATTTTTATTCCTTGCCGCAATTTTGTTGTTAAAGTTCAAGTGTTCAATTTTCAAGTGTACAGTAATAACCCACACAATTAATTTAACCATAGACCAGTTTTTCTGCAATTAAAATTAAAAAATGGCTGAACTGGTTGGAGTGGAACGATCTACAACTTGAAGGGGTGTAAGGTGCCAAATTTGCATTTATCAAGATTGCAACAAAAAAAGTTCACCTTAGCTGCACCTCAGAACAGGCTAAAAAGAGGGCTTCAATACTGTTCCACTTTAAATAGACTAAAAATGAATGAGTTAAATAGAAAAGAAAATATTTTTTAGCATAAGTCCCCTTTAATATGTCACAGTATTCCTCGTCATTGTGAAATCTGTCTTGTAAAGCTCTGCTTCTCAAAGTATTAATAAACCTTAATTATGCTTAATCTATTTAACCTAGTTCTACGAGTCTTCTCATCTCATGATCTGGACAGGAACCCAAAATTCTTCTGGTGGTGGAAAGTTTGGCAGATCTTTCTAATATTGGGCATTATTAGCAGCTAACATCCTGGGCTCCACATGTGCTACAAAAGACATTTACTCACCTCATTGCCATGGACACATATGTGATGAGTGGTGGTAAGAGCCTTGAAAACGACCACCCAGCTGGCATTGGTGGATCGCTCAAACAGTGTGTCAGCCATCTGAGGGATGTTTACATTGGTAGTATTGGTGGCTGACACCAAGTCTGCAACAAAACCACAAACATAAAGATTTCATTGTTGGAGAACCTGAAAGACAAATTCACATTTTCTTGTTTTTAGTCTCAGCCTGAAAAGTAGGCTGACATGGCTGCTAGAATAATTGTTTATAGCCTAATGTGCGAAAGCACACTTGTTCATTGAGTAAAGTGCTTTAATTAAACTTTGATGAGTATTCCTTAGTGCAGAGCTGCTCTAGACACTCAAGAGACTTTAAAGTCAGGGCTGCAACAAAAGGAAGACCTGATGAACAAAGACCAGATTGCTTTTCATTTTCTCACTGAGACAACATTGAAAAAAAAGAAATGTTTTTTCATCTCATTTGGCTTTGGTTGTCACGTGAGACAGTAGAACAGAAATGTCAAAAAAGGGAGGAATCTGGAACACTGCATGGATACTTAATAGAATACAAACTGTAGAAGAGAAGAAAAAAAGTGTAAAAAGAGTCTACCGGTAAATAAAACTTGTCATAAAGACTAGAATTCAGTATATAAGGTGTTACTAGTTGTAAGGAATAGATATCTCAAATCTTTATAGAAATTAGGTATGTAAAGATTCCAAAGACAAAAAAAGAAAACACCACATTGCACAAGCAAAATTAGTTTGGCTGTGCAAAAAGTGGGTTTGTTGCATTGGACCTACAAAAAATGTAAGATGCATAAACCAGCTTTGTTTATAACCAAACTGAGCAGATTGAGCTGCAGATTGATTCAGATACTTGCAGCTTTGGAACTGACCTAAAAAAAAGATTTCTGAGCTATGTAGTTTGAGGTAATGATGACAATGATTATTTAGAAACTAATGATAATTCTAAACTAAACTGTATTTATAGTGCACATTACATAACCTATATCAGTGCTTTGAACAAAAGTTAAAAAATGAAATGATGAAAATAAATTTAAATTATATATAACTATATAAACTATAATATATAAAATTGTTGGGAGCTGGAGAAATTCCACCTTTCTCCAGCAGAGTCCGCCGTGGATCCTCTGAGGGAGCCTCCTGCACTGCTGCAGCTCATCAAGATCATCAGAGGATCCACTACTTAAGCTGTCTTCAGACCTTGCCTCAACGCCGCAGTGTTGTTCCAGTTGGTCAGCGCTTAAGCCTAGATCCTCAGTGTTACTCTATGACTTTTGAATCCAGCTTGGATTCTAACCCTTGTCTCTGTCTTCCAGGAAACCTGTGCCTCCTCTGTGAAAGCTCAGGAAGAGCTAACCTGCCGAGCCGACCCTCAGAGCCAAACCTGAAGAATCACAGAGAACTTCCAAGCAGCTCTGGACTAGAGCTGGGAAACCCTAAACCAAGGTCTGTTCATATTAGACGTGAGACGCTGAAGCAGCAAACGAACTCTGCTGATGAACTCTTCTCCAGATCCAACAGAGACCCTCCCAAAGCTAACCTCAAGAACCCTCAAGGTACAATCAGTAAACTTCAGGAAATCAAACCTCTGTTGACAACGCTAACTGAACTGTCTCTCACGCAGACTCCGGTGAACCAGTATCCAGGCCCCGAACCTGAACCAGTATATTCTGTGTGCTTATGCATCAATAAACTTGTTAAACTTTCATCCCTGTGTCCGTCAGTGGTGTTCTGCATTCTTGGGTCGCTTTTAGTGAACCCATCATGACAGAACACTGCGGCCAAACTCAAGGCCCAGCAGAACATCTCCGTCAACTATTGAAGGAGCGGGATGCCCAAATCCACAGACAAGTTCAAGCTCTGAGTGAGTTAAACTCCCGCATAGAATTCCAAGATCATGTTGTCCGAAACTTCACCAGTCGTTTGAACAATGCTAACGCTACACCAGTACCACAACCATTTCCGGGTCCAGTTCCACCTCCGAGGTCACCAGCAGTGACGTCATCTGAGTTCCGCCCTAGTCTTCCAGAAAGATTTTCTGGTAACAAGAAAGATTGCAAGGGATTTTTATTTCAGTGTCGTTTGATTTTTATGAACTCTCCTGGCAGCTTTCCCACGGATTACAAGAAGATAACCTTTATTCTCTCTCAGCTAACAGGAAGAACCTTGGAGTGGGCTCAGGCAAGATTTGCCACCGACGATAGCTTAAACTGCTATTACTCTGACTTCATCTCTGAATTTACCCAGGTATTCAACCAGGAAACTGACCAAACTATAGACTCCAGAGCTCTTTTCAATCTAAAACAGGGAAACTCTTCGGTGGCTGAATTTTCCATTAACTTCTGGGTTAAAGCGGCAGCTTCCGGATGGAACCAAAGCGCTCTAAAGGGAGCCTTTTTCATGGCATTAAATGAGCACATTAAGGATGAGCTCGCAACCCTCGACGAACCAGCTACCCTCGAAGATCTAATTCGCCTCTCCATTAGATTGGATAATAGAATTCGTGCCAGAACCAGTTCAAAGAAGCAGGGTACACTTTCTTCTGCCTCACATAATGTGACTGTTTGTTCTTCCTCTACAGAGCAGCTGCCCATTCAGAGGCCTAAGTCCCAGTCTCTACCGTTGCCTATTCAGGCCTCTCATTCGAGCGAAAGGGATGTCGAACCCATGCAGGTGGGACACACTAGGCTCACTCCAGAGGAGAGGCAAAGGCGTTTTCTAAGCAAACTATGTATCTACTGTGGTGAGAGAGGACAATTCATCGCTTCCTGCCCGGCTAAATCAAAAGCCTGGGCCCGCCAGAAGATCTGAGGAGTCTGGCGGGCCAGATAAACACTAAGAAATCTCCTCGACTGTTACTTCCTGCCACGTTGTTCTGTGCTAATCAAAACCTCTCTTTTTCTGCATTCATCGACTCAGGCTGTGAACGTAACCTAATCGATTCTAACCTCGTCCAGCAACTACAAATTGAAACCATTCCTCTGACTCAGCCTCTCAGTGTATCCGCTATTGACGGAAAAAGACTCCATCAAGTTACCCATCAAACTCAGCCCCTCGAGTTACTTCTGTCAGGTAACCACCGAGAGACTATAACATTTTTTGTTTTTCCCTCTGCATGTTCCCCGCTGGTGCTCGGTTTTGAATGGTTGGAGAAGCATAATCCTCACATTAACTGGACTGAACGTCACCTGGAATCATGGTCCATCTCATGCCATGAAACATGCCTTCGTTCTGCTGCCCCCTTGGTGGGGTCTCCTAGAGGTGGGGGGGAGATGGACTCTCCTGACCTTTCTTCAGTTCCTTCTGAGTACCATGACCTAGCCCCTGTCTTCAGTAAGGTCAGTGCGACGTCCCTACCTCCACACAGACCATACGATTGCGCCATTGAACTTCTACCTGGTGCTCCTCTACCCAGCAGCAGATTGTATAATATTTCCAAGCCCGAAAGAGAAACCATGGAAAAATACATCAACGAATCATTAGCTGGTGGAATAATCCGTCCATCTTCCTCTCCATTGGGCGCCGGGTTCTTCTTCGTGGGGAAGAGGATGGTTCCCTGAGACCTTGTATTGATTATCGAGGTTTGAATCAGATTACAGTTAAGAACAAATACCCACTTCCTCTCCTTGCCTCTGCGTTTGAACCTGTACAGGGAGCTACGGTGTTTTCTAAACTGGATTTAAGAAACGCTTATCATCTCCTTAGGATCCGTGAAGGCCACGAATGGAAAACAGCCTTCAAAACACCCTTAGGCCAATTCGAATACCTAGTAATGCCCTTTGGTCTAACTAACGCTCCAGCCTGCTTCCAGGCCCTCGTAAATGATGTTCTCAGAGACTTTCTCAATGTATTTGTTTTCGTGTACATTGACGACATTCTCATTTACTCCAAGAACCTCGATGAACACAAGAAACATGTCCGCCTTGTTTTGCAGAGAATGCTGGAGAACAAGCTGTTTGTGAAAGCCGAGAAGTGCGAATTTCATCAACCTTCAGTCACCTTTTTGGGGTTTGTGCTCGAGGGCGGCCAGGTAAAACCATCTGAGGACAAGATTAAGGCAGTATTAGACTGGCCAGTTCCAGAGAACCGCAAACAGCTACAAAGGTTTTTAGGTTTTGCTAACTTCTATCGTCGGTTTATCAGAAACTACAGCCAGACAGCCCTTCCATTAACTTCTCTGACCTCTGTCAAACGCATTTTTCAGTGGACTCCTGAGGCTCAAGCAGCGTTTGATAAATTAAAATCCTTGTTTTCCAGAGCACCTGTGCTTATGCAACCTGACCCAGCGAAGCAGTTTATTCTTGAGGTGGATGCTTCAGATTCTGGTGTTGGAGCAGTCCTATCCCAGAGACTAGGTTCAGATCAAAAGATACACCCTTGTGCTTTCTTCTCCCGTAGACTTTCTTCTGCTGAGCAAAATTACGATGTGGGTGACCGAGAGCTTCTGGCCATTAAACTGGCGTTGGAAGAATGGAGACATTGGCTGGAAGGAGCTGAGCATCCGGTTCTTGTATGGACTGACCACAAGAACCTGGCTTACATCCAGTCAACCAAACAGGCTAATCCTCGCCAATCCAGGTGGTCAATTTTCTTCTCTCGGTTCAATCTCATCATCTCCTACAGACCCGGATCCAAAAATGTCAAGCCCGATTCTCTCTCTCGTCTCTACTCCGTCGATCATCCCGAGACACCTGAACCTGTTCTTCCGGCTTCCTGCACAGTGGGGGTGGTCAACTGGGAAATAACTGACCTCATCAACTCAGCCCTGGCCACTGAACCCGATCCAGGTAACGGTCCCACTAACCGAACCTATGTTCCATCTTCCGTCAGGTCCCGTCTCATCCATTGGATGCACGCCGCCAAGTTCTCTGCTCATCCAGGAGTCAGCAGAACTGTAGCCCTCATCTCAAGACGCTTCTGGTGGCCCACTCTCCATAGGGACGTCAAGGAGTATGTGTTGGCTTGCCCCACATGTGCCCGTAACAAAGCCTCACACCAACCTCCTTCTGGCCTGCTCCAGCCGCTTCCTGTTCCCTCGCGTCCTTGGTCCCATATAGCCATTGATTTTGTCACCAGTCTCCCTGTCTCTCGAGGTATGTCCACCATATTCACCATTGTTGAC